CTCAATACTTCTTCCGAGGTCGCGAAATCGAAATATGCTATAGATGCAGAAGAAATTGTCCCCTCTTCGCCACCAAGCTTTTGTATCGCTTCGAAAGATTTCGCTACACTGAACTTGGACAACGATGAAGAAGACGAAGACTGGACTCGAGATGAAGAGAACGAAAATATGGAAGCGGGAAACCAACTGTCACCGCCAAATAGCTTGTCTTGTCGTCGGGTCAGTCCAATAAACAGAGGAGCCCTTGCAGATGTTACCCTTGGTGGTTCCACAAACGGTAATCATTATGCTGAGCGACCCAAGAGTAATTTATTTGATTGGTCCGAACCATCGACATCGGAGAAAGATCTGATTGGAAGTTCCGCTCGACCTAGGACAGCACATGTTAAGCAACTCGCCTTGAATGGACGAGGTGGGCGAACTGTCGGACGAAAAGGCCCCACCCCATTGCATATCAGAAGTCAAAGTGTTCCTTTAGTTCCCGATCTCATTAATCAGCGAGACCATACAAAGCTGACACCAAAGTTTGGCACCTGGGGTTTGGGCGCAAAAGGCGTAAGTGAGGACTGGGATAACGATTTTGAATTCGAGTCAAACGATGAAGCTGGACATGAGGATGGTAATCTCAAGATTGAAACCGGTGTAATGTTCGTTCCTCTCGCAATTCAAGCCAGCCAAGCAAACGTCGTTGGTCATGTTGGTCAGATTCGAGAAGTGTGCTTGCTGGTCGAAGATCTCAAGAGGTTGCGTCTTTTGGCTCGGGAAAAGGACTTGATACATGGACCTTCAGCACAATTGTGGAAGGAAGCCGAAGGCATTATTGCTTTAGCTGTGCCAGATGAAGAAGATCCTACTCTATCGCCCCCTCAGTCTCCTACCTCTATTTCTTTTGATCAGGACTTTGGGGATAAGTTCATCGATCGTGGCCCCGATGCTGAAGATGTCGCTATTCCTGATGTTCCGATGGAGGTCTTGGATCGTTTTGGGAAACCCTCGGGGTATGTATATGATGGTAACACTGTTCGACGACGTTCAGTATTCTCGCCTGAAGATGATATCTTTGGAGCTGGAGCTGTCATTCATAACCCCCCTACCAGAGACAGTCTACGTCCTCCAGCAATTCCTGTTCGTTCTTCCAGTGCAAAGACTGCAGCTGAAGTTGCCCGTACAGTCATGGAAACCATGCACCAACATCGTTCTACTTCAGATCCTTGGTTGTCAGAAGTGGTTGAGCAATCTCCAAACAAAATGCCATTCGACACGACCAGTCTACGCGACTTGGTCCATCGTGCTTCTGTTTTGAGTCGAAAATTGGCCGACATCATCCGTGAAACCGATGGCACTATTCAAAGTCCGGTTTGTACACCTCATCGCGATTCAAGTCCGGCATTCACTCGCGTTTTCACTGACCCAATGTCATCACCTGCTTCAAAACGCCTTCCCCGAAGTCATAGCAGCAACTCTATGCTCAGTGGCTCAATGAATTCCTCACCAACAAGAAGCTTGGGCCAAAGAATGCACATGATGACTGTTGTATAACAAATTACCATTCTCATCACACAACATGAGCGTTTCACTTTGAGAAGTCATTCTCGCCGACACGAATTCTTGTACATACACGGGTCAATTAATAATGGCCGTAATTTTATTTCTGCATAGCGACGGGTTCAAGCTACCATAAAACGTTCTGTTATTGACTTTTTTCCTTGTTAGTCACATGCATCTCCTGGATTTTTTGCCAACCAGGGAATGCTTCTTCTAATGGCACACGCCTTTCATACCATTGCATTCATCACTTAATCAGCATATGTCATTTTAGCACGAATGCATTAAAGAGATCAATTCCGACGACGGACCGAAGAATCATAATGTTTTTCTTTTACTTTTACTTTTTTTTTACCGGATTTCCGAATGTATCGACGGATTCTTTCAAACGACATACACGACAACGACAATAATCCAAATGGACCTCGGGAGATGAGAACAAATTCTCATTCTTTCTTGGGCCTTTTCTTGATACTCTTACCATTTCACATCAACCTCTAATTTCTGGCGGTAGACATCAAACCGACACAAAATAGTGCACGTTTGACGGCGTTAAGGATACAGATAAGAGATTCTGTGACCCTGTATGAACATATTATATCAGTGTACGAAATAATTTGGGAGATCAGACGAGATGATAAGGGTTGGGTGGCTCTTTCCGAAGCAGGCTTTGTTTTTGAGTCAATTCTTTTTTCTTGCTTCTTTACTTTATCTTTTGTGTTGCGAGGGATTTGCATGGATTATTGCAATGCCTCGATGGCTACGGTCCGTATTTGATTGTGAAAGGCGTCAAAAGCGGGGGAGTTTGGGTTTTTGTTAAATTTACTAGTGTGAGATTGGAAAGGAATTGGAGAGGATATGGACGGGCGTTGAAGATTGAATCGGGATCAGAGTGTGGGTACTGGATAGCATAGTAGGCATCAAGATGATGGCGAAGATGGATTGGACATAGGTATTTGGTAAATTCCATGATGTGTATATCTTCCATGCATGTAGAGAGTACACGGAGAAAGTAAAGAGACCCCATGGGATACACAAAAGGGGAGAGCAACAAAACATGGGGCTGAGAGAACAAAAGCAAATAAGATAGGATGAAAGCTAAAATCAATATACCAAAGCTTTTCAAATCCATTTACATGTTTAATTTAATTTTTTTTGACTTGATGTGAGACTTGTAGATATGTGTGTGTGTGTATATATATATGCTTGTGCGTCTGTGCTGTCTGTATGTGTCACTTCCAAGGACCGACCAAAGATCTAGATGAAGATGAAGCCCTCCAGCACGATCGTAGAAATTCAACAAATGATCAACAAAAACGCATGAAAAGAGCGAGTAGGTACTAATAAACCTGGAGAATTATGGATTATTAGCTTAATCGGTTATTAAGCTACTAGCTACAGTAGCTCGTCGCAGATCGAAATGATACCGAGGCTGGGGAAAATTAACAAGTCGAGCAAGTCCCATTGATGGTCTGGTTACCCCGCATATGTGAAGGGCGCTAGAAGGATCGAAGGCTAGAGGTTCTAGGGGTTTCATTTTTGGGTTTAGGGTTTTGGGGTTTGGGGGGTTTGGGGATTGGGTGGCGAGGTTGGGGGGTGAAGGATTGGGGGTGAGGGATTGGGGGTGAGGGATTGGGGGTGAGGGATTGGGGGTGAGGGATTGGGGGTGAGGGATTGGGATTTGGGGGAGAGGTATGAGATGGAATGGGATGAGGATGAGGATAGAGATAGATGGGTAAGGGCTAGAGTAGGTAGGGAGATGTTAGGATGCCTCGATATTGGTAGGTAGGTATTTTAGTATATATTGACAATGTATTCGAAAGTTAGTACTGTAGGTTAGGTACGTAGCTTAGCATATTTATCGTATCGTATCGTATCGAATCGCGGAACGCAACGGAACTTTGCTTCCTCTTGTCCGTGGAGGGGAGGTGGTGGCTGAGAGGTGAAGTGGAGTTGGGGGGTTGGGGTGATTGGGTTGGGTTGGTTTGGGTTGGTTGGATGGATGGGGGGTTGATGGATGGTTTGAGGATCATGGGGAGAGGAGGGAGGAGGGAGGAGAGGAGAGAACGGAATGGTTCCATGCTGTGGGTTTGGGAGTTTGTGGTTGTGGTTGCGTTTGCAATTGGGAATGTGTGGTTATAATGGGTGGGTGGGTAGGTAGGTAGGTGGTGTAAGAGAGATTCTGATGTTTGTGTTGATGTTGATGTTGGTATCGATTTGATTTTGATTTTGATAATTTGTTTGTTTGTTATGGATGTAAAATCTTATATACGATATGATTTTCGTATATTATATAATCTATATGTAGCTAGATAGATAGGTAGCTAAGCAATTGAGGGATTGGATAATGTGCTAAATCACTACGCACTATCGTACACTCCGCATCGATCAACGAAACATACACAAATATATATCCAGTACTTGAGTAAAAAGCGAGAACAAACAAAAAAAGTAAAACAAAAATCCCAAATGCCGGTTGACTTGCCACTTCTCCTTCCACTTACCCATACTTGTTTTCTTGGTTCCGCTCTCTTCCATGCGCTGGGCGTGACGAAAGGAAAGGTGAAGAGGGGTTGTGTCGTTAAGCGAGGCGTGGTGAGGTAGGTGTGTTAAGGTTAAGGTAGGTTACTTACTATCCTATCCTCTCATCGTATCATTCGCATCTCTGGCATGCATCGTGTGCATACTAGGTATTAGGTAATAAATCCCCGGTACTTATTATTTGTTCCGAGGTTCTGGGTTGAGATTCGAACCCCTCTCTCCTGTTTGGGGGATAGGTGGTCTGTTTTGGGATTGGTGATGTTGGGGAAGAAGAGGGACTAAGCTGGAAGTGGAGGATTGTCCGTTCGGTTTTTCGACTAGTGTGCTGGGGTGTGGCGTAGGAAATGGGGATCTTGTAACGGGAATCGCGTGAGTTGTTGAGAAGGAGGGGATTTTGTGTTGAGGGATGATGGGTCTAGCGATTGCTTATTTGCTAGCGGGATAGGTGGTGGTGATGTGGAAGTTGGATGGGGGGTTGCATGCCATGCCATGCTCTTGCAGGGAAAGTTCCCCAGATCTGCAAGCCATGCATGGTGTTTGGACTCTGGAGAAGACCGTCCGGGGGAGGGGACGCTATTGCAGCTCTGCGACGTGCAACCTGGGGAATGCACACGGCAGGCCTTGGGATGGGGCTTGCATGGCACGGTTCTTTGCGTGGAGAGTCTAGGCATTGCTCTTGCAGTCGATGGATGCGTGCTCAGTTTGAAATTGTATATAACAACGCGAACGCCGGGTCTTGAATTTGTGGGATTTTCATTTTCATTTCTTCTTCTCCTTGAGTAGGGAATCTTGCATTTTTCTTTTCTCTCCTAATACTATTGTGCTTCATCGCTTTCAACGGTTGATAGTCAGTTATCTTGATATCAAATTCTATCTCATCCTATACTCTTAGGAAAACATCACGTTACTTAATCATGTCTTCACTCGATACCTCACACGATGATATCCATCACGACAAACCATACGTACAACACGTCGCCGGTGGACCCGATCTCTCCCGTCAAATAACTCTCCAATTAAACACCGATCAATACGAACGACTATTCTTCCAACCCTCATCCGCCAAAGGCGATCTTGTCAAACGACTCGGTAAGTTCCCATCCCCTATCCCAAACCAAGCAACCCACTAACCCACCCCAGGAAACCCCACGCTCCTCGGGCTCCTCGGCTTCCTCGTCCCCTTCTCCTCCACCGTCTTCTCGCTCCTCACCTTCCAAGGCTCCTCCACCTCCTCCCTCGTCTCCGTCAGCGGAACCTTCTACATGTTCGGCGGCATCGCCATGATCATCGCCGGCATCTGCGAATTCGTCCTCGGCAACTCCTTCCCCTTTTCCGTCTTCATAATCTTCGGCGTGCACTGGGTCTACAACGGATACCTCAACGATCCTCTCCACGGCATCGCCGCCTCCTACGCCACAACCGTCAACGGCGTCGCGGTTCCCGGTGCCCTGAGCCAGGAATACAATGCCGGCCAGGGAAATTACGCCGTCGTCATGGCACTCGTCTGTTTCGTCTTCCTCTGCGCCAGTCTGAGAACTAACGTCCCGTTTGTAATCGTATTCTTCACGTTGATATTCGTCTTTGGCTTTTTCGCTGGCGGTTACTACCAATTGGGATACAATCCTTCCAAAGCCGGCTTGGAGAATGCAACGCACATGTTTAAGATTGCGGGTGGATTTGGATTCGTGACTATAATAATGGGATGGTGAGTTTACGTTTTTCTATTTCCATTTCTCTTCCTTTCTAGATTAGATATCCTAGATGCGTAATGTACGAAATGCTAATTAAATCTCATAGGTATCTGGCCGTCATCACATCGTGTGCTTCGACGGGCGTACCATGCCCATTACCGATCTTCGATTTGAGTTCCAAGGTCTTTTTCCGCAATAGGGAAGCGGCAAAGACGGAACATGCGGGTGCTGTCAGAACTGATATGGTTTAGGTGCGAGGTTAAGATGCGGGTCTGTTTGACATGAGGAAACATGTTGAGCGGATGCCACCTCTGTTGAATTGTATATGATCAATACACAAGGACTATGTCTTAATAAAGGTTTAATGAAGGTTGGACGTATGTATATATTGATAGTCCTTTTTTGTATTCAAAATTGACCCAGCTTGAGTAATAAATAAACATATTGATAATCTATTTCGATCAGAATACTGTGACTAGACTTCTTGATGTATCGTGAATCTTCACGAGTACGCAAGTCACCTTCACATCCCTACCCATTACTTACCCAATTGTTTATATTATGAGATATTATATCTCTTTTGTCAATACTCATGCCACAGATATCAGGAAAAACTATCTGGATACAATAATCAGTGGTAGAGTTCACCCAAAACAAGGCAGTAAGGAGGTAAAGCAACGATCTTGCTATTAGCTAGAATAATTTTTGACCCAAAAATTGTATTCAGCGATCCAAGGCAATGCTAAACTAGACCAGATATGAAGTATGCATTGATCCAAATTTGGATCATTCAAAAAACCGCCAAAACGACTTCCTAGTTCGTCAACGTAATAAATCACCACATGTATATCCAGTATTGGAGAGATGAAAAGCAACCACGTATATCCTGTCAAATCATATCATAAGGTATCGTATCCCAAAAACACCAAATTCCACCCTGTACTTAAGTCCCATATGCACCTAAAGCACCCCTGTATACCTGACCCGAACGAAGTAGCATGAGTTCCGCCTTGAATATTATCCAAAGTATATGATTCTCTTAATGAACTCTTCAACTTTCCAGACCTCGCCCTCCAGCTTGAATGACCAAAACACTTCCCCTAACTCCACTGCTAATCAGTGCCTCTGCCGCCACTCCTACGGTTTTTCTCATTTCCTTTCCACTCTCCCCACTGGCGCTCTCCTCATTAATTAGCGCCATAGCAAGTGAGCTTTTACCTCTACCTGTAACGATCAAGTCTCCTGCATTTCGAGGACTTTGTCCCATTTCAACCTTTGCGTGATGTAAACAATCGGTCAGTGGGGTTGTAGTCTTAATATCGACAAAAACTACTCTATTCATTAATGCTTGAGGTAAGGAGTCTCGTAGTGTGTGTAGAAGAGCGGTGTCGGATGCAGCTGCATTGTAAAGATCCTCAGTATCGACACGTTCCGTGATACGTAACGCCGAACCAGAACTACCACCATGCTGAGAACCGGTAGCAGTGGCTGGACGAGAGCTATGCTTTACTTCAAATGTCTTGGGACTATGAATAGGAGTGATAAAATGAATGATGGTTGCTGTGATGTTACTGTTTTGTGCTAGTTGAAGAACAAAACGAAGAGCAACACGATCATCAGCGCCACCGAAAAATGGAAAATAAACATGGTGACTGCGATCTGCGATAGGAGCAACTCTTTCTGCACGTTGACTACTGCGAAGACTAAGTCGACTAGCACTTGATGAGAGATTGCGAGGCTCCCTCAGGGTTGGTCCACCAAAGCCACGATTGATAAAAATGGCAATATTGCAATTAGCGATTTCAAGCGTCTTCTGGATGAAAATATCTTGGAGGCCGCTAGAAAATGAATCATGATGGGCTTCGTTGACTGGTAGAATACTAGGTTCGGTCCAAGGGATGAGGACTAGATCAGAAAAGTTGTCTGCTGCTTGTGTGGTCAAAGCCTCGGCATAATCCGACTCAGGAACGACGGAAACCCCACCTGAGACGGCAACGTTATTTAGTTGAGCAAAGGTGCGGAAGGCGTTAACGACTGGATCACGGTGTGTGTATTCGTCAACTTCAGCCATGACTGAAGAAGTACGATCAGTAAGTTCTAACAGACGAACGCCATGAACCTCAAGTGGCTGTTTCTTAGGAACCAATGATGAAGAAGTACCATCCTCATCTACTGTTTCCAATTCCGCTTTCGACCTGTGGACTTTGGTAACCGTACTCGTGTTATCACCACCCAATAGTGCAATGAAAGTGAACAAGCTAGGAAGACTATCAAGTCTGAGGTAGACAAGAAGTCGTCGGACTTGAGTGGATTCCAACTTTTCCAAGGAGCGGTCCGGGGTATACTCATCACCCTCAGGATGAAGTCTGTTACCTTCCCAGTCAATTTCTCCTTTCTTCCAGGCCTCGAGTTTCTTCTGGTACCAAGGAGGGTATAGTGCGGTTGTTAATGGCGTTGTGGCAACGGTTGTGACAAGTGCCATCACAACAAATATCGTGAAAGTCCTTGTGGACAAAATTTTGGCTTGTAGACCAATATTCTGTCAGAGTCAGTATAGCCAATGTAATAGATTTCAAACATGATCAACTTACAAGGACAATCAATTCAACAAGACCTTTACAACTCATCAAAACTCCAATACTGAGACTTTCACGCCAGACAAGCCTACAAGCCTTGGCCGCAAGCGTACCTCCAATGATTTTGCCTGAGAATGCAACAACAATAATTGCAATAACATAACCCCATGTAATTCCATCGTTCAGTAGACCAAGATTGGTACTTAATCCAGACAAGGCGAAATAAAGTGGAAGGAGTAGCACTGCGACTAGATCCTCGATCTTTTCTGTGAGATGAATAGCAAAACCACCTTCATGGGGACATATGAGTCCAGCAAGAAAAGCTAAGATTAAAGTTAGCGAAGCTTACATCAGGCACATCTCAAGTTGACCTTACCTCCAAAGATAGCGTGAACTCCAATGATGGCAGTAAACCAAGACGATGTCAGGACGATTAGTATCGTGAGAGCAACCATTCCCTGAGAAGGGCCATTTTCAAGACTTCCGTTGCGGCGAAGGATATACCTAAACACAGGACGAACAGCGTACACTAAGAAAAGACACCAGCCAACACAAACGAGCAACACCCATAAGGCTGCGAGCCCCGATCCGTTATTGACCAATGCAACGCAAAGGGCTAAAAGAATCCATCCTGTCACATCATTACCAACTCCAGCAGCGAGAACTGTGACTCCGACGGGTGTAGCGAGGAGGTTTAACTCGGTAAGGATTCTACAGAGGACAGGGAAAGCTGTGATCTATAGCGGATGTCAGTAATCAATTCAATTAGATGGAGGTTGATCTCGTACCGCAAGAGCTGTACCGACGAATAGCATATAGACTGGGAATGAGATAGGCACAGTTCCCGGATCATGTCGAAACTCGTTATACAGACCGTAAGCAACGGCGCAACCCAAGCCAAAAGGCAATATCATTCCGGCCAATCCAACACTCAGGGCTACTCTCCAGTTACCAAGAAACAGTCGCATATTAACTTCTAGACCAACGAGGAAAAGAAAGAGTATCAATCCGAGATTGGCGGCCATGTTTAAAACTGGCATCGAGGCAACGGGGAATATAGTTTCTTGAAACCCAGGAATGCGCATCATGACCGAAGGACCCAAAATGATTCCGCCTATTACTTCTGCAATGACTCGAGGTTGTCGAAGTTTGGACAAAGGGTAATGAAGAAGACGACAGAAGATAATGATGATGCCCGCCTGTAATTGAAAGCAAATTAGCTAGATCCATTTATGATGCGCAAAAGACCGTTCAGTTGATCGAGTGGAATTATTTTGTGAATTTAACATTCTGTAGGTCTTTCTGCAATGATGGCATGAAGCTCTGCTTGAACGACCATACATTCCACCATCGATGCTTGCAGGAGAATGCGCAAATCAGCAAGAAAGAAGCATACCTGAATGATGAACAAAACAATAGGATTTGAAGGATTGTAGACAGTAGGGTTCCCTCCTTCTAGAATTCCACCCTGCGGAGCGGCCCGATTTGTAGAAGTGGCGCTGGCAGCACTACTGGCTGCTTTGACGGTAGTCGCAATCGTCGAAGTGACAGTCGCCATGATGGCGGTTTGAAGAGGATATGGTCGTTATCAAGGGTGTATTGTTGATGAACGAGATCAAGCCTCGAAAGGCAGAGGAATTAGAAGGAAGATGATTGATGGAGTCGTCAATTATTAGTATGAATGCTTAGACGTCAAGGTAAGCTTGGTTTTAGTTATTGAGCTACCGAAGTATATTAGTAGATGGATACATCTTATTAGGTACATTCAACAAAGAGATGAGGGGACATACCTTTTTAACATCTGAAGATTCAAGGGTCTAGGATAATCATGAGCTTGAATGATATGTATGTTTGCAAGTGTGTGATAGCTCTTGGCTTGCAGGATCCATTTTGGAGGACTGGAAACATTATGATTGGAGGGAGAGAGGTCAGGATAATATCATAAGTTTAAGTTTGTTAGTGAATTGAATTGAATTGTTAGTATGATTGACAATTGACGCCATTTGGGAGTGAATGTGTGTTAGTGAAATAAGAAAAGAGAATCTCACCAAATGGCGGGGGATTCTGGGGTTCGGTTACTACCGTACAGGCTTACTACGAATTGTATTGGCTACATCTCAAGAAATAGTGGACAAAGCCTGCGATGAACAGGTACGGAGCGGAGTCTTTGAGACTTTCTAGACCCTGGCTTATCTGTTATCACTACGACGTCCAGAAGTAAGGTTATGATCAATTTCGCAGTTAATTATCAGCAATTACTCGAGTAGCAACCAGTGAAATTGATTCAAATGTTTGCTAATAAATGTTCCGTACATTCTTGTTCACTCAGAACTGACCGAATGAACATTTATTTAGCGGTGAAAGGGGCTGTACAGAAACTAGAGAATATTAGAGAAACTCCCCAAGAAATCCAGAAAAGGGCCTAGACTTTGTTCCTATTGGTTAGGTATCGCCATGTGGCATTTCTCATCTGTGCCCTTCCTGTCGGAATCCCACCTACCTAGTAGTTCCAAAATCTCTCAACCTGACAAGCCCAGCCACTTCGAAACAGCTTGTCACATTAACAATATCACACCATGAATCTTCAATGCATGTGTGGCCCACGTGCAATACATCTCACCTCAATCTCATGGAATTGGTGGGATAAAAAAGCAGAGCAGTGGTTACTTGATCCTGTCTCATGATCACTGACTCTGAGTCGCGAAGCTTGTTCCTCGTAAAGCGTCTGGAGTAAAGGGTTGTCAATGAGCATGGCCGCATTGTGGCGATAGTAGTAGCCAAAGCCAAGCATTCAAGCCTCAGAAAAGAAATGTCTTCCAATATCTTATAGTGAAACCTCTGAGTATCGCGGCTCGCTCGCATTTTCGTTAGTGGGATGCATTGTCAGTAGGGGTACCTATATTGTGAGTTAGGGTGAAAGCTCCAGTACCCTATATCTGATTGACTTGGTATATAAAAAGCCATCGGAAGAGTATTGGCAACTTCATCTATTCTATCTTTATCACAGGGTGAGTTTCAGCCTATCATCTCTTCAGTTTGTTGTACTCCGTTAGGTAGCTGGGCTTTCAATCTGCGGGAATGTACAGAAATAGATGATAACAGTGGCGACGAGCAACGAGCAACGATAGAAGAAGCAGCTCCTTATCCTTGAAAGCAGCTTCTCCATCAAGTCGCCCTCCATATCTCATGCTGTTATTGAGCTGGCGTGCCGCGTATTGCCGATGTTTCAGCCGCCTCTCCTGATGAGATTATCCTCATGATCATTCTGTATAACTATCGTGCTTTTGGGCTTGTGGAAAACAAGTACACAACTCATGGATATCTGATACAGCTGTTTGAAAAGATACTTCCAGGACTGGCGAACAGTGTATGAAATTGAAAGTTTTCAGCAACACTTAAAGGAGTCTAATATTGGGTAGCAATACAACCACACCAATGCGGGGTATCATATTTGATATAAATCGTTCTACCAAATGCACTTCTCGCGTGTAACATCTGGCTGCGGATTTTGGAGAAGTCTCCGATTCTGTGAACTTCTTCACTACGTGCGTCGAGCACCCCTATATCAAGACTTCTTGGAACTGCATGATGTCGATGATTGCAGATCATGCTAGCATCTCAAAGATCTGCGAACATTCTGATATAATTTATCCACTGTAACTATTTCAAACTTTAAGGATATTGTTTGCAATTATTTTCTCTCATGAATATTGAGCCTGTTTCGAAGTAGGATGACAAGAGAGACGGGGCACAAGGGGCTTTTCTTCGTCCACTCCAATCTCATGGGCGCGGGGTAGTTCATCGATATCAAATTGTAATCCGAACCCCCACATCCATGAGCTCCAAGAATATTCGGGAAATAAATTCCAAGTTTGTGCTACCACACTCAATTCTGAAACGCTAGGTCCTTGTGAAGCCAGTGGTAACACAAAATAGTGGCCCAAACTAAGCAGCATTCCAGCAACTTCAAACTTCAAATATTGTATTCAATCCTTGATATTGGAAAGTCATGTGGATGAGCCTCAAGCAATATCAAATTGTCTTTACTCCTCTCCTCAACGATTGAGATCATACTAGGCTGGCGAACCAACTGCACCCTGATCAAATCCAACACGAGATTTCAGAAGCCAAAAGCCGCATATCATATCAAGTCATCCAGTCATTAGTCTTGCGAGACTTCAAAAATTTGAACAACTCGAATATCCTATGATTGTAACATAAGACGATACTTACTTGTGAAATAGGCCCCAATGAAATTGTATGAATAAAATATAGCTATGCGTTTTGCAACGACGGGCGCAAATCTGTTTAAATTCTAGATATAACATTACATAATCTACGTTGGAATTGCAAATTCCAACATGATGGAGAATTAAATATTGAGCTGTACCACCACACCACCATGATATCTAAACCCCAACCCACGGTTTCCACTTCTGAAAATCATACACCCCTATTCCCTTTCTACAACTCGAAATCCCACCCTCATTCCGTCGATAGAAACGCCAAATCGAAAGTAAAGTATATCGGCACCCTAGCATAGCGGCCAAGAGTATCCTACCGGATTACCCTAAAAATGCTATTATCAACTTGGGATTCTCCTCGCTGCCCCATCACTCGATGCTGTATCGATTGATTTTCATTCTCGGTGCATCAAGAGAATTGAGATGAGGTTATTCAGGATAAAATATTCCTCCTCTTGGGAAGAAAATAAACCATGGTTCGGGGAAGTTATTCAAACTCCCCACCTCACATGAAAAAGATGATATTTTCCCCCCTGGATGTATGCGATGTTTTTGAGAGCTTGGGAGACGTGGAAGCCGAGTGGTGAATGGTAAGATGTGACTTCGACTTTGAATGAGAATATGAAGCCGGACTGAATAGTCAATTGTCATGTATCATCCATCTAGATAGAGCTTTGTGGTACTGTAAGTTGAATGAGTGTTGGAACCAAAGAGATGTGTAGGAAAACAAGCAGAATCTGCAGAAATGTAAAATATTGCCTGCGCCTGATTTTGATTTGTTGAGCATCTTTTAGGTAGATGTTTGAGCTGGTGGTTTAGTCTTCAAGAGGGCATTCACATTGGTTTGATGTATAAATTTTACCGACGATATAACGAGAATCTATACTAGGTAGTTTTCAATCCTTCACAGCCCCTATAAAATCTCTCAAAAATAACCATCTTCCCTCTTCTGCCCATCCATTCTCCCTAAAGCTATTGGCATAACGAGGGAAAAACGATACCACACCTTTCAATGTCTCATCGTGTGCCATAACAACTAATACTTCATCCGATGCGTCCACTTCCATGACTTTTTCAATCGTTCTCTCTGCCTCGTCTACATCATGCGCCACCTGTTTTCCATCATCCCTTCTTGCTATCGCGTAAAATGGTTTCTCTCTGTCATTATCACGAAGAAGAGGCTCAAAGAGCGAACCTGGGCAGGTTATCCCGTAACTCGGCAAAGGAGCTGGTGTGAGAAATTCTGGAAGAGGATGATAAGGTGAAGGTCGAAATTCGCCCCCGTGATGACACGCATCACCTCCCATAAACACATACGAATTTGGATTCGTTTTGACCTTGGCTAACGCACACATATGGCCGATAGTATGCCCCGGACTATTGAGTAAATAGAAAGAACCATCTCCAAAGTAATCGAGTGCTTCGAAGCGGCCAATCTTGAGACCAGAATTGAAAGCTATTTCACGGAGTTCACGATCGGCATAATCGCTCTCAAGAATAGGGGAGGAATTATCGGAAGGGTAACCCGGAGTGAAGGATTTTTTGAATCCGGGGCCAACGACCAGAGCGGTGGATTTATCAAATGTACTAGGATCTCCAATATGATCCCAGTGCCAGTGGCTCCAGATTACGGCTTCAATATTGGCAGCCGATACCCCATGTTCCTCTAGTTGCTCACGTACACCCTTCTGAACAGTGATTTTCCAGCCGCCATCTCTGATGCGTTCGGTAATGCGGGGGGCGAGATTTTCCCAGTCTTTGCGGACACCAAGATCGAAGAGGAGAGAGCGGGAGGAGGGATGCTCAATGAGAAATGAATAGGCGGGGATGGAAAAGTGAGTGTGTCCTGAAATAGCGGGGGAAACAAACTCGGAGAGGGGAATACCGGATATGTGGGTAGTAGTATCGATGATGCGGACACTCACGGTGGTGGAAGATGGGGGAATGTTAAGATTTGGGGCTGGTCTTGGCATACTTGCGAAGGATGCAATAAGTAAACAGGAGTTCAATATAGCAGAGATGTATATTTTGCAGATCTCGCACAAACTGTTGTGCGGGAAAGTGTGAATAGAAGCAATGAGTGTTTGGGGCATGATCGTTCTGAACTACTTACTAGTTCTCCCACCAATCGAAGTTATGGGTCCTAAATATGATCTACCTCTAAACCAATTCAGAAACTGAGAAGTAGTATCTGATGTCACAATTGGCGGCAGAGTTTTGAAATGAGGAATGAAAGAATGTAAAATATACCAATCATAGGAAGATTTTGTAAACTCTTATTGGCATTGGATTCGAGTCAATATGTGACCTATACGGATGGTTGCCATGATGATTCACGACGTAGATGGTCATCCTGAAGATTTTATCATCTAGATGGGATACAAAGAATGAGAAAAGTATGCCTACCGTACGGAGTAGATATGTAATACTGCGTTGCATCAATCAAAAATGACGGATGAGGGTTTCGCTCACAAATAACCGCAGCAAGGCTAAATATTGTAAAATGGGGTAAGGTTAACCTTATAAAAAGCACACAAAATATCATTGTTTCATATGTAAAGGCTGGAGAGAGAGTGTGAGACTGATATTGCTAGGTATCCAATGATATACGTACTAGAATTCTTTATCGTCGCACATTTATTACGAGCAGCAAAAATGTATCTGCATAGCAAACACAACCAATCATCTGTAATATAGTCAACTAACAGGAGTGAAAGTAAAGATTCTGCAGCAGGCGAAGTCCGCTAGTTTATCTAGCTAGTTAGTACGGTATACCGCATACGACCAGTGACTCCCCGGACACTGGGATCATGAACTTTTGAATAATTTTATTTTCACGTCTCTTAGGTAAACTCCGGGTGTTTAAGTTCAATAAGAAAAATCTTGGAATAGATTCATATTTTCTTCGTCAAGTTACACAGATCTACTTATCACATAAGGTTATCCCACATATCACATTAAAGATGGTTGTCAAAGAATATGTGACCTATAACCAGGTATGCGCGCACACAGAAGCTCAAGATGCCCCTCCTGACCTCATATTACCCCTCCGAGCAAAGAAGCACCACTGACAACCTTCCTCAGGTCCACAAACTCTGTCAAGAAGCCGCACCACGCATTCTCGAAGACTTCCAACCTCAACTTATGATCGCTATTGGCGGTGGTGGATATGTCCCCGCGCGTATTCTGCGATCGTTTTTGAAACAACCCGGAAGTCCCAACATTCCAATTCAAGCTATTGGTCTTTCGCTATACGAACAGCTACCTCCTACACACCCCTCGGCTTCAAATACTCCAGGGGAGGTTGAGCAAGTGGGCACAAAGGTTACGAGAACTCAATGGCTAGATTTGAACAGCTTGGGTAACATGGAGAATTTGGTTGGAAAGAGAATTCTGATCGTCGATGAAGTTGATGATACCCGAACCACTTTGGAGTATGCCGTTAAGGAGTTGGAGAAGGATGTTGAGCTTGCCAGACAAAAGTTGGGAGGTCAAGGAGAAAAGACTGTCTTCTCTATCTTTGTTTTACATGTAAGTGATTCATCGATTTTTATATGCGCGATCAGAAAGGGAATTTACTAATGCGTTGACATCGACAGAACAAGAACAAGGAAAAGAAGGGTACGCTTCCTGAGGATATGTTGAAGGATGATAGATATCTCGCTGCAAGAACTGTTGAGGATGTATGGATTTGTTATCCATGGGAGGCCCAGGATATTGAAGAACACGATGAAATGGCTCGCAAACAACCTTCACAATAGATTTTCACTTAATAGATTTAGTTTTCAAAGAATCAGAATAAAGTAAAACTCCAGCATCTTTGATATTGTTTCATGGACTTTGGACGAAGATTACCGAAACTGACTAAATATCGTGATCTTGTATCAATCCTTGCATTGAATTAGCAACTTCCTCTCCTCTATTGCAGAATCTCACAGAATCAGATGTATATCGTGATAATTGAGCATTTTCTGTCATTCTCGCATGGCATCAGAAGCCTATCAGGAAATTTCATGTAACTTCTTATCTTATCTTAGCGCCGAAAACCTTGAGAGGTGCAGCGGGGTAATTGGATTACTACTCTCAGCGGGTTGTGACTGTACCCCAAAATCCATGGATGCTCAGACAGATACGAGTGAGTTCTCGATAAATACTCTAGGATGAGACGAGTGGGTGCGACTTCGGTGAGCACCCAATTTTGGATGATAAATCCAAATGTGCTTCTCAATTGTGACCAATATCCACTATAATATCTCCCCGTGTGAGATGGATTACGTGTGAAATACTATTACGTTTATAATCTCGTTCTGTTCTCATCGTCTGTAAGCTGGATATATAAAGCTTCATTGCCCTTTCCGAGCTTCTAGTATCTATTATTTCTATATCTTATGTACACAATTGCCCCTGATCGTCTGACTTTACTTACATCTACAATCATGGGCGAGATTCCTCAACAACAAGAGCATATTTTATGTCTTCTCCCTTTTCCAGAAGATGCCAAAATTTTGGATAGGTTGAGACAGAAGTATAACGTGGAGATCACATACAAACAGATGTTCTTTGGTGTAGGAAAAGCATTGGAACTTGCGACTGTGCCGGATGGTGAGTAACCTGCCCTGTCATTTCCTTCCCGTTTCCAGAAGTTCCGGGTATCGGGGTTCTAACAATATCATTTCGCCTCTCAGAAACCTGGCATCATGCAACTATACTCGTTACCCTCTCATCGTTCCCTCCTTCCGCCGAGAAAGCAAAGAATCTCAAACTCATTCATCTTTTCAGCGCTGGCACAGATAGATTGAGCAACACTCCCATCTGGAAAGACACTAAAATCCCAATTACAAACTCGTCTGGTGTACATGGACCGCAGATATCAGAATGGGTTATCATGCAGATCTTGAGCCATTCGCATAGGGAGAAGATAATGCTTGAGTGGCAGAAGAAGCATGTTTGGGGAGATTACAAAGAATTGGGTTTAATGAGAGATTGTGTGGGACAAAGACTGGGTGTTCTTGGGTATGGAGCGATTGGCAGACAAGCTGCGAGAATCTGTAAAGCTATGGGAATGGATGTTATAGCTTATACTGCGTCGCCACGTATGACTCCTGAGTCTAGGAAAGATGAGGGTAAATATATCGTCCCCAATACTGGCGATCCAGATGGCACACTTCCGTCTGCCTGGTACTCCGGACTCGACAAGGAGAGTCTGCATAACTTCCTTAAACAAGATATTGATATTCTCTTGATTTCCGTTCCCCTGACACCGCAAACTCGCCACTTCCTGTCCGCAGCCGAGTTCGAAATATTGGGATCTAAAACGAACGCTTTCATCATCAATATTGCCCGGGGTGGTATTATTAATCAAGAAGATCTGATTACATATTTGAAGAAGCCATTGAGTGAGGGAGGCTTGAGGGGAGCTGCATTGGATGTTACGGACCCAGAACCTTTACCTCAAGATAGCGAGTTATGGACCTTGGAAAATGTGGCTATTACACCTCACGTCAGTGGGCTTGGGACGACGTATGCGGAGAGGAGTTTTGCAATTCTGGATGCGAATTTAGAGAATATAGAGAAGGGAAGAGATCTTATTAATTTAGTGGATAGGAAAAAGGGGTATTAGGCGTGCTATGAATGGTGGGAATGTTGGATATAAAAAACGCTAGAAATGGAAGCATCATTTGACTTGCAATTTGAAACTTGGAGTATGATAAGTCGACAAATTGTAATTTTTTTTTGAATATTTCCTAGTGAGCCTGCACAACACCACTTGCATCTGCCTGTGCTGTGATTCTCTTCTTGTAAGCCTGCACATCTCCAGGGAATTTCTCCACCGTTCCGTTATCACAAACCCAAAGACTTGTGCATACCGTTTGCAACATTGTAACATCGTGACTAACCATCAGCACACCACCTTGGAATGCATTCAATGCTTGACTCAACGCATCCATAGCTTCAATATCCAAGTGATTGGAAGGTTCGTCAAGAACCAAGATATGTGGGTTTTGTAGAGATAGACAGGCGAATGCGACACGAGATTTCTGACCTCCGGAAAGAAGTTCCATCTTCTGAAGACCAGTCATACCGGTGATACCGAAGGCACCGAGGTGGCGACGATATTCTTCGTCGGTTTTTCCGGGGTAGGCCTTGGTCATGAAGCCGACGGCGCTAGTGGTTAAATCGAGAGCATCGACGTGATGTTGTGCGAAGAAACCAATACGGAGTCGAGGATTTTGAGAAATAAGTCCTCCGGTAGGAGAGAGCTTTCCGATGAGAAGCTTAAGAACGGTGGTTTTACCGGCTCCGTTGGGTCCGACGATACCAATTCGGGAGTCGAGTTGTACGTCCAGGTCGACATTGCGGAGGAGGGGCTTGTCAGGAGTATAGCCGAAGGATACATCTGTCATTTGGACAATTGGGGGAGAAAGTTTTTCCACCTCGGGAAATTTGAAATGAACCGTGTATACGGATTCGGGGGCTTCGAGAATCGGCATCTTTTCCAACTTCTTGATTCTGGATTGGGCTTCGGAGGATTTGGCAGCGTTGTAACGGAACTTGTCGATGAATGCTTGGAGATGAGCACGTTGGACCATTTGGTTCTCGTATTCTCGTTGTGCTGTCTTGCGGCGTTCTTCCTTTGTGGCATAGAAAGATTCGAAATTGGCACCCTTGTAGTAATCGAGACGTTCGGAATGTTGATGGATGATATCAGTTGCAACTTCGTTCAGGAATGCTCTGTCGTGAGAAACTACCAAAACAGTACTTGGATATCCTTGAAGGTAATTGGCAAGGAAAGTGATAGAAGGAACGTCCAACATGTTAGACGGTTCGTCAAGAAGTAGAAGATCAGGTTCACAGAACAAGGCTCTAGCCAATGCCAAACGCATACGCCAACCACCAGAAAATGTCTTAGTAGCAAATTGTTGTCGTTCAGGGGAGAAACCAAGACCTGCCAAAATGGTTGCAGCTCGAGATTCGGCTTTGTCAGATTCCATCTCTGCAAGCTTGCCTTGAATATCACCCAATGTCTGATCAAGACCTTCGCGCTCTTTGTCAAGCTTCTCTGCTTGCTCAGAGGTATCAGCCATTGATGAACGTTCTGCCTCCATGTCTGCAAGTTGTTTGGAGATTTTGACTTGTTCTGCAAGTAAGTGTTTTCTCCATACATCGGCATCAAGTACAGCTTGTAATGCAGGTGTATCGTCTCCGCTGATTTCTTGCTCGACGTGAAGAATGGAAATGTGAGTAGGTACAGCCAACTCTCTCCTTGCCAAAGCTCTCAATAGAGTAGACTTTCCGATACCGTTCTGACCTACCAAACCATATCTTCGGCCATAAGCCAAGGTCAGATTTGTATCTGACAAAATTCTCAAACCACCAATAGAAACATCGATATTGTCCACCTTGATGTCCTTGCTCTTTGTAGATTGACCCGATCCCAATTGCAAAGGATTGACAGCCATGAAGAACTCTTCATAGGACTGAGCGTCATCGGGTTGATTGATAAGTTTAGAAGCCTCATATTCGACAGCCTTGAATTCCTTCTTGCTTTGTTTGGCAGCAATCTTTCTTTCTGCTTTTTCCAACTTCTTTTTATCAACTCTCGACTCCACTTTTCTAACATTTGCGGATTCCAAATCAACACCTCCAAGCGACACACCCAAAGTAGACGACATATTCCTCTGAGCCCCAACTTGGATGGCTTGGTCTAGTCGTTTGGCAGCGGAAGAGAGCTGCTTATTTTGCCCACTCCCATCAAATTTTTGAACCCATTTCTCCACTATCTGGTTGATCTTTGACTGGTTCTCTGGACTCGGATCCCCAGAAGCTGATAGTAAAAGCGCAGAGATAGCAACCGCTGCTTCTGATAATGGTGATGGACCATTTTGGTCTGCCTCGACATATGCGTTTGATGCATGGGTGAGGTATCCAACTGAATACTCCGATAGAACCGGATCTATGTTGGGTAAGAAAGCTTTAATTTCGTTTTCCATGATGATCAATGTGACACGGAAGTAAAATATCAATTCGTACCGTCAACAAAGAGACCCTCTACATGTATCGGCTGCGAATTGCCTCACCATCCGAAAGTTTATTCTCACGTGATCGGCGGTTTTCCAACGTCCGACACACTAAACCTGTTGAGTAAATTAATCCCCACTAGTGTTTTATTTGTTTACCGATTACTCCTGCCTAGCGGTGAACAACAAACTCCACTATCCACAAGGACATCTCAGCAATCCTTAACCTCTTAATACTTCTCTGTCTACCACCTCCATCTCTCAATCTCTCAATACCCAAACTCCTATATCTCAATACCTCGACACAAGAATCATAACCAACCTTCAATATGCGTGAAATCGTATGTATTTCTTTCTCTTCATCTACGACTTCTACGCCTCTTTGCAAGACGCGTCGACTTTACCCCTGAAAAGCACCCCACTATATATTTTTCAAAAGTAACATATCGCTGACCAAGTGACTTTTCGATCTACAGGTTCATCTTCAAACCGGCCAATGTGTAAGTCAATTCAGCCAAATGTATCCTATGAGCTTTACTGACCATCTGCTCAGGGTAACCAAATTGGTGCTGCCTTCTGGTACGAGATGCCGACTCTGCGAAAGCTCTGCTTCGCGACAACCTCAGATTTAAACTAACCATTTAACAGGCAAACTATCTCTGGCGAGCACGGTCTTGATGGTTCCGGTGTGTAAGTAATATCGGAAGCTCTTGTCTCGTATTCTGAGCGTTACTAACATGGCTTGTTTACAGCTACAATGGTACATCCGATCTCCAACTTGAGCGTATGAACGTCTACTTCAACGAGGTATATATACACAGTTTCGACTCTACGAAAACCATCCACTAACCCCTATAAGGCTTCTGGCAACAAGTATGTTCCCCGTGCCGTCCTCGTCGATTTGGAGCCAGGTACCATGGACGCCGTCCGTGCCGGTCCTTTCGGTCAACTCTTCCGTCCAGACAACTTCGTTTTCGGTCAATCCGGTGCTGGTAACAACTGGGCTAAGGGTCATTACACTGAGGGTGCTGAGCTTGTCGACCAAGTTCTTGATGTTGTTCGTCGTGAAGCTGAAGGATGTGACTGTCTTCAAGGATTCCAAATCACCCACTCCCTCGGTGGTGGAACTGGTGCTGGTATGGGTACGCTTTTGATCTCCAAGATCCGTGAGGAGTTCCCAGATCGTATGATGGCTACCTTCTCCGTCGTTCCATCGCCAAAGGTTTCCGATACCGTTGTCGAGCCATATAACGCAACTCTCTCTGTCCATCAATTGGTTGAGAACTCTGACGAGACCTTCTGTATCGATAATGAGGCTCTTTACGATATTTGCATGAGAACCTTGAAGCTCAGCAACCCATCTTACGGAGATCTTAACCACTTGGTTTCCGCCGTCATGTCCGGTGTCACCACCTGTCTTCGTTTCCCTGGTCAACTTAACTCAGATCTCCGAAAGTTGGCTGTTAACATGGTTCCATTCCCCCGTCTCCATTTCTTCATGGTTGGATTTGCTCCTTTGACCAGTCGTGGCGCACACTCTTTCCGTGCTGTCACTGTTCCAGAGTTGACTCAACAAATGTACGACCCTAAGAACATGATGGCCGCTTCCGATTTCCGTAACGGTCGTTACTTGACCTGCTCTGCCATTTTGTAAGTCTGCCCTATAATGAATCTGCCAAAATTTTGTAGATACTAACTTTTTTTAAGCCGTGGTAAGGTTTCCATGAAGGAGGTTGAGGACCAAATGCGCAACGTCCAAAACAAGAACTCATCCTACTTCGTTGAGTGGATCCCCAACAACGTCCAAACCGCCCTTTGCTCCATTCCTCCCCGTGGTCTCAAGATGTCCTCCACCTTCGTTGGTAACTCGACATCCATCCAAGAACTTTTCAAGCGTGTCGGTGATCAATTCACTGCTATGTTCAGAAGAAAGGCTTTCTTGCATTGGTACACTGGTGAAGGTATGGACGAGATGGAGTTCACTGAGGCTGAGTCCAACATGAACGATTTGGTTTCTGAGTATCAACAATACCAGGATGCCTCGATCTCTGAGGGAGAGGAGGAGTACGAAGAGGAGGCCCCAATTGAGGGCGAGGAATAGATGTTTAACGTCATTTCTACTTTGCTTCTTTGAGGAAACGACGGGCTGGTTACTGATCTTGCATTAGTGGCAACACGATGTCGAATCATATTTATTGATAGCAAGGTTGATAATTTCTCAAGTGTGGTTTGTTTTAGTGTTTTTGTTAATTAGGAGCGAGTGGTATTGAGGGCGTAGAGCGACTGAACATCGTCGATACCCTATGAAGTAGTTCATCTTGATGGATTAAGAAATCAAGAGTATTTTACAACTTGATGCCTACTGCAAAATTATATGGTGATGTCAAATGTGCTATCTGATCTACTATCTAATACCGAAAGAGTCTACTAAGAAGTTTGGCTAAGATAAAATTACATGTTCCTATTATTGAGATGGTCTGTAAGGGTATCCATCATCTCTACATTCATCTTGAGTGATTCAGGGTCGTAAAGATCATCACCTCAATGCTCACGCCTCTGTGCACACAAGAAGAGTCTTTGGTCAATTCAAGCTGGTCAGAATCGCTCCACCTCTTTAAAATGTATCAATTTCTCAAATCAGTTTGATGTGCATCAAGTAGGTACTCACACAGAGGCACTAACGGTCAATATCGGGTGTTTTTGAGTTTCCACTTCCAATACCTGCAACACTGCAGCAGTCACGAAAATTCTTTTCTTGTCTTCTGATAAGGATTTCATGTCATGTATTTTGGTCAGAACATTTCAATTGGCTATCTTGTTTTTAACTGCCACATCTGACAGGGGAAAATGGTAAGGCTGTCAATTTAAACTAACTTCATTTGGTTATCTTTGTGGCTGAAGAGGTGAAAATTTTGGTCTGATAAAGAAAAACATTGAAGGAGAGCGCGTAGTTCAACCCCACCATTTCATACACTATTGTTGGGGCCCGTCCCTCAATTGAATCCACAACTGACATTACTCATAACTTTCCAAGAATATAAACAAACTTATTAACCTTCTCAATTACTCCTCATACAATTCTCACATATAAAAAATTTCAAAATGGCAAAGGATAAGGTAAGAATCAACCTCAAATCTGTATGAGACAGAAGGGTATAGAGCTTGAGCTGATGCTTGTTGATTCTAGGTCTGTCTCGCCTACAGTGGTGGTTTGGATACCAGCTGTATTTTGGCTTGGTTGATTGAGAAGGGATATGATGTTGTCTGCTTCATGGCTGATGTTGGTCAAGAGGGTACAATACTCTGCATTTCTAAGAGTAAGACTTTACTAATGAGAGAGCAGAGGACTTCGAAGCTGCCAAAGCTAAGGCTATGAAGATAGGAGCTGTTGCATGCTATGTTGAGGATTTAAAGAGGTATGCAAACTTATTCATTTTTAGAGAAGAACTCAATTGACATTATATCCAGAGAATTCGTTGACGAACTTTGCTTCCCTGCCGTCCAATGTAACGCCATCTACGAGAACGTATACTTGTTGGGTGAGTCATACACATATACTATATAAGAAGACCGAAGAAGACCGAAGGAGAGTTTCAAGGCTAATTGGGTTGGAATTCAGGTACATCTCTTGCTCGTCCAGTCATTGCTCGTGCACAAATCACAGTCGCCCAAAAGGAAGGATGTATTGCCGTATCCCACGGTTGCACTGGAAAGGGTAACGATCAAGTTCGATTCGAACTCGCATTCTATGCTCTTCAACCAACCATCAAGGTTATTGCCCCATGGCGTCTACCAGAATTCTACGAGCGTTTCGCAGGCCGTAACGATCTCCTCGAATATGCTGCCAAGGCAGGCATTCCAGTCAGCAGCACAAAGGCAAAGCCATGGAGTATGGACGAGAACTTGGCACATTGCAGTTACGAAGCTGGTATCTTGGAAGATCCAGATGTCACCCCTCCAGAAGATATGTGGAAGTTGACTGTTGATCCATTGAAGGCTCCTGATCAGCCAGAAGACTTCACTCTCGTTTTCGAGAAGGGTCTCCCAAAGAAACTCATTACAAATGGCAAGACCATCACTGATTCAGTTGAGCTCTTCCTCGAATCTAATGCCATTGCTCGTCGTCACGGTGTTGGACGTATCGATATCGTTGAGAACCGTTTCATTGGTCTCAAATCCCGTGGATGTTACGAAACTCCTGGTCTTACATGTCTCCGCTCCGCTCACGTTGATCTCGAAGGTTTGGTTATGGACCGCGAAGTCCGTGCTCTTCGTGATCAATTCGTCACCTTCAACTACTCCAAGATTCTCTACAACGGTCTTTACTTCTCCCCTGAGCGTGAGTTCATCGAGGAATCTATTGTCGCTTCCCAGAAGAATGTCAATGGACAAGTCAGATGTCGTGTATACAAGGGTACCTTCAGTGTTTTGGGTCGTTCCTCAGATACCGAGAAGTTGTACGATGCAAGTGAGAGTTCAATGGACGAAATTGGTTCATTCGCTCCTGCGGATACCACTGGTTTCATCAGCGTTCAATCTATCAGATTGAAGAAGTATGGTGAGGCTAAGGCGGCTGCTGGTGAAAGACTATAGATGGATCTTGACACCTTAATGGCTTGAACTTAGTCTGAGTCTTGGTTTGGACCTGAGACATCTGGGAACTTGCAACATCGCACAAAATTCAGATGATGCACTAATTGTCTCCGGTCGTCGGAGTGCAGATGGGGATGGGAATATAGTAAACTAAAATGCTACACAGAAGTCGCATATGAATGAAAACAGACCAGCTTGTTCTTGCCAGTGCCGCTTCAATTCATGATGAATTATGTGTTTGTTTCCAAGAAAAGACTTAATGGTGATTACTAACAGATATCTGGATCTGTTCTTGGTCATGTACTATGCCGCACTCGCTTAACACAAGTATTCCCCCTTCTCACCTGTATCATTTTCATCTGATCTCCCTTATGTCATTGCATCTCATCTCATTTCGTTTCGCGGTTTTAGATAGATGCCGAGGTGTACAATGCAGGAGTTGCATATGTATGCATGCGAGACAGTGGCAGAGAACCGTTTGGGGACCTTAGTTCTTTGGTTCCTAGGTTCTGGTAGAGTGTTGTGTAGGGCTTGTTGATGTGGTAATGGGTCATTGGTAGGGTCTATAACGGGGAAGGATGGAGGGGTTGTACATTCTTTGTGTAGATGAATGAGGTAATTTCAATGTATGGTAAGCTAAGGCAAAGCAGCAGAGCAGAGCAGAGGGGGTGAAATGAGGAAGGGGGACGAGGGGAGTGGAAAAATGGTCTAAGCGACCTTAGTAAAGGTACACAGACGAAGGTACTGCTGGTCTAGTGGAAAATTCTCATTTTGGCAAGCAAGCTTCGATGGGAAAGTGCATGCAATCAACGTACTCAAAAGCTTCGTTTAAAAACTTGCCAGGCGCAGATTTTTGCTTGCAGTCATGATTTTAATTAGCAGCAAGGTGATCAAACATTGTCATTTAGAGATGATACGGTTGAAGGTGAGAGTTAGGGTGAAAAGATGGGTAAGAAAGGTGGGTGGTATTCGCATTCAGGGATACACTTTATCCAGAGAAACTCTAAAAAATGCCATGTGCCGACGTTGCATTATGGAATGCATAGAGTATAGAAGGAATCTTATACATGTATTCTGCATGGAACATGGATGGAATGTAGGATATGCATGGAACGAAGTATAGAGCTATGGGGTTTAACGAGTCGTTGTGTGTGGAGATTCTCCTTCCCCTCGCTTCAAGGGAAAATCTATTTTCTCGGGAGACTTGACTTGTAAAAATAAGGAGAGCTAGAGTAATGTTGGCTTACACTGCCTCCTTTTGGGCTGGCAATGGCTGTTGTATGTTTGCTCTGTACGTATATGTGAAAGTGGTGGTGTAGTGGTGGAGGCTCTCCATCATGCTTTCTTTTTCATCCCCTTCTTTGTTTGGTGAGTACGGGAGATGGTACAAGAAAACGTGTGTGTACGAAGTATGTCATCATCTCGCGTTCTTCCCAAAACATAGCCAGTTTCCGAGTCGGAGATTTGTAAGACTGTACGCTGCGAATGTGTAGAGTGAGTGAGTGAAGGCGGTGTGGAATCGGTGGTGGGTGGTGGTGTGGTGTGTTAAGGGGGGGGAGGGGAGTGTAGAGTGGTATTTCTCCTACGTAGGATACATATGGTAGAGCTTGGTGTATAAATGGGGCGTGGGGTGCTGGCTTGGATGAGGTATGCTGTATGCTGTATGGTATGCGGCTTGGTGTGGTGGCACAGAGATATAAGCGGCGCGCGTTTTTTCCGGTTTGGGAATCTCGGGATGGAGAGTTATGTACATATAGTCATGGGATAGGGAAGTTAAGATCGGCCAAGGAGAAATGGATTGTGTCTATTTTTATGGACGACTGCAGAGGAGAATTTTTTGCTGCGGCTCACTTTCGTATTTTACGGCTGTAGCTGTGCTGGTGGTTTGTGGTACTACAAGTGACATCTGTCTACAGAGAACACACCACATATCATATCTTCTTCACCGACACCATCAAACATGCAATGAATTCTTTGCCGAAGTATCAAATTATCGCAAAGGAAAAAAGGAAAGAAAATCATTAGAAGAACAAGAGGAAACACATAAAACCCCATCTGGTGCCGATGGCCAACTCTCAGCGCCGGAACAAACTTGTACCAGCCTGCTCAGGCTCGAAGATCGAGTATGTACCGTAAGCCTGCGTCTCGTACCTGCACGGATGTGCGGTATTTTGCAGATGGGACTCGTACCGTTCTGAAAGGAATCAGATGAATGGCTCCGCGTGTACGCGTTCGTACCTGAACCTTTGGAGCGGTAAGGCGATCTGGTTCGAAGATAGGGTAATACCCGTCTTACCTCATATTCGACTGATCGGTTTATTACTCAGCGATACACTGATCAATGTACTTTGTAATATCTGTTGTAATCAGAAGTACCTATGCCATGAACGTTTCTAGAAGTTTTACAATCTTGGAGCATCCTGGCAAAATTGGGGTTTGAATATTTTTAAAGTGGTGGTTGTTGTTGTTTCAAGATTTAACCTCTAATAGATAGATAGATGAGTAAAGCAATGGGGGCCGAGTAAAACGTGGTTTGAGTGGATATGTGATGGAGGAGTGCATGGCGCTCTCGTATAGGTACTGTGATGTCCAATCAAATACTTTTGTTGAGCACCAGTGAGTACCTAGTAGGTAATTAGTTTATGGTACGTTTTCATCTACAGTAAGGGTTACAAAACACAGGGAAGAAAATAGACGAGCAAGATGTAGGATTTTGAATTGGAGACAATTGTATGCATGAGAATGGGGAAATGTCCCCTTGGGGTAAATCGTATCGAGCCCAAGTGTCTAGACTCTGGATTTTGAAGGACGATCCGTACATCCGGAGAACAAGGCTAAAAGGGAAACGTGAAGATATAAATAACCTTGAAGTTTTTTGTGCCTCGCGGTCGAATAAACAAAGTTTGGTAGCAGGAAGGTAACGTATGAGTCGATACTCCACATTATTTAATGAATGTTAAATTTTGAGATTGCAATTGGAATGAATGAGACGATTGTGACAATAATTTATGTGAGATCTAGACTATGTCTTTAGCAAGGCACAGTGACTCGCTTTCTTTCCAGCTGCCCTGCTTTGACCGAGAAAGGATGTATGGAATGAATCATCGTAAAATTTCGGGGCGAGCCAGCTCGTCAGTGTTTCGGAGCGCCTAATACTTTCTATTGTTTTATAATATTTTTATTATTATTCTTATTATTCTTATTTATTCATTTATTTTATTATTATTTTAATATATCATTACGTTATTATTTTTATAATTTAATAGAAATAATAGAAATAATAGAAATAATAGAAATAATAGAAATAATAGAAATAATAGAAATAATAGAAATAATAGAAATTCTCTTTTATAATTTTTTCTAGATTCTAATTTAGATCATTTAGATCATTTAGATCAATTAAGATTCTAAAAAGACAATCAGAATAAAAAAATTGATTTATTGATTGACATTTAAATGTTGTAAGAATTAAGAGTTTAAAAACTAATTTCTATATATATTAAATATAATAATAATAATAATAATAATAAGTTTTTAGTAAGTTATTAATAAATCTTGAATATTAAAGAATTGAAGATAAAGTTTATTCTTTGTTTTTTTAATTCTTTATTTTTTTTTAATTCTTTATACAATTAATTTCATAATAAAAAATATCATATAACTACTATATACAGATCATATAATCACATACAAATTGAATTCCTGAGTATAGAAAATATAATCTATATACACCATATAAACATTCCGTAAAATCCGACGCATAAGTTTCTTTCGCTACGCTCCGAAACATAATGTATATAATCTAAATAATGAAAATCCAAACAGTAAATTCTTAGGGGCTATGCCGTATATCCCGAGACAAAAGATTCAGGGCCCCAAGATGTTGTACATTTGAATTGGCAGATATGGGATTTCTCTATTGATTGATAACCATTACCCGTGCGTGCCGTTTGTGGAGAATTATCTTCAATTGAGACACATCGCGCGAAGGAGCTGAAGGCGCAAGACGAAACGAAACGAGCTACTATATATCGTAGTAATCATCGTTATGGGGCAGACAAAGTGTACTCGGTACGATAGTTTGCATGGGTGTAATAAGAATGAGAGAAAAAGTGTGGGTGTTGATGAGATGTTAGACAAGGGAAAAACGTGGAACCTTCAGCTGTCAGGGATGATAGGAATGGTTCGTCGACATATTGGGAAAATGGAGTCAACTGTAGGTGTGGGTGGTATTGCGGCGTAGAGCACGAGGATACAGGGTTTCTCCTAAGTATGACCAGGTTCGAAACTATATCGCGGAAAACAGGATTTGGAAGCTTGACGGGTTGAAGGAATAGCATTCGACTGAACAAGTAATTCGTAAGATCTCAAATCAAATGTGCCGCACACGATGTAATACTGTAATACAACTAGATTGCTTCTAGAATGAAGAACGTAGGGTACCTGACATTCAATCGGATGAACTTTATGTAGTGCTTATTTCAGTGTGTATACGAATACTACACTGCAGCATGGTAGTTACGTGGTTCATTGAAGCATACATATGGAGCTAACAAATGCGATGAAGGGATTAAAGCGTTGACATCTTGGCAATCAAAAAAGACACATGTGACACTCTAGGATAATTCCGCTGAAAGAAGCCCTCTTTTGAGAGAGCCTTGTTTAGGGTAGTACCGTACATCCGGAAGGAATGAGGAGGTTCCTCGTACTTGTGTAAACATGGCTAGCTCAAATTAAATTCGGTCCGAGGTAGCCAATGTCTCAATCATCGACTGTCAACCGCAGGTATTTTGTGGCAGATGTAAATGCGGTACAAAATATTCTATTATACTTCCGGTCAGGAATCTTTAACGGACTTTCTCTGTAAAGAATAGTGGATCATTCTTCGCAGCTGCATGAAGAAACCGGATAGGATAAGCATCTTACTTCCGGCAGTATCCAATGTTCATTGGCTAATCACCAGAATTGACATGGTTTTTCAGACGAACCTCGTGTGGACA